CTCGCGGTCTAAGGCATGAAATGTCTTGCACCCGCTCAAGCATTGTGATCGTGCTTTCGCATCCCACTTGAGGCGCGGATGTCTGCTTTATTTCTATGTGTCACTTGTCCTGTGTAGGAAACAGCCTTACGACGAGCTGACCACACGTCCAAGAAGTCCTACCAGCTGTCTGAAGATCCATAATTTCATAATTAATCAGTCCCGAATGGGAACTGTCCAGGGACCCTAATCCATCAAGGTAGATGAGGATGAGAGGTATCAATTATAAATAGCATTGTAAACACCAATATCTTCTCGCCTGTTATGCATATCCTATATACCAAGAAGGGGATAAAGAAAAATTAGGGAAGGCAGAGAGTGAAGTATTTCTTCATTAGCAAGAGGTCCTAGTGCAGTAGCTTAACTTCTTGCCAGCGTACAGGAAAATTATTGAAGAAACATAAGCGAAACGCGTTTCGGTGAGCAGTCACTAGAATCAAATGCCTGCAAGTCGTGTTTAATGCTGCGTGCCTTCGTGTTGAGTTTATTTTCACCCACATTTCTCTGTTCGAAAAATGAAGTGTCATATTTGTAAATGATACTTGAACAACTCGTTTGTGTTTTTATGTCTGAAGAAGATTACTAATACTTATTGCTTCTCCCGTGAGAAATCATAAATGTTGAATGACTGCACGCAAGTAGCATGAACCGTATGAACTGGTTTTAGAAGTGGAAATTCTTTCAGTAGACTTTCATTCAAGTCATGCGTTTTGACATTTCAGCCTTCAGTAATTTTGCAGGAAACATTACAAAATTTACACTGAAAGTCCAGATGCAGCTGACCCCGTCGCTAGACCACTACAATCAATGTCTCCGTTGTTTCTGCCTCACAGATGAACTGTATAATAAAACTCCATGTCAGTTACAGGCTGATCAGAAGAGATGTCTGCTCTGTTTTTCTGTAAGAATACAAGGATGGTTAAAAGTTAAAGGTTCGGGACGTTCATTTAATTCTTAACGAATCGGCCAGGACCCCGGGCATATAGCCAACATCAGTCAGCATTTCCCGTATGTCTGGTGTACTTTTAATGCAGTTAGTTCTCCAAGGATACAGAGTCCATGTGCAATATCATTAGGTATAATGTAACAGTATATCTTTTTCTATTATGCTTTCTCATCATTTTTTGGTATTTTCTTCCGTCTATTTTTTCTGTGTAGTGTATGGGAATGAAAGTATCTGTATTTGTCATCGTCATGTTTCTAACCCTAATGGTTTAAGTAACGGGTTTTCAAACTATGGGTGATGACCCCACAAAGGCTCCCGACCTACTCTGATAGGGGTCCCAGATTTCTGAAGAAATATTTAAAATATAGTTGTATCCACACGCAGTTCTTTCCAGTCAGTAAGATTCAATATACACGTAGGTGCTTTGGAATATATAGCTCCAGCCGGCGAACAATTTCGCGAATATTGTGCAGCAACATTTTATATGTAGAGGCTATAAAGCTGTTTAGGTTTCTACTGGCTACCCGATATGAGTATATGGACGTGCAACAATGTGCAGAGCTGCACTTTTCGCTCACAATCAGAGATTACGGAGGGGGGAGGGGGTCGTGCCTTCACAAAGGTTGACGATCTCCGCTTTAAGATATACGTACCTTCTTTCTGCTGTTATGGACTCATACCCTGCCTTGCAATTGGTTGGTGTGTCTGTCTTTTAACTTAAGAATCACTTCACTAATTTTCACGAGGCGGAAGCGACACTTAATTTGGGGCCTGACACGATGTATGATAAACCTCAAGAAGATGTGCAGCCTTTCTTAACATAACCTTATATAGAATATAAATAAAATAATAACATGGGGGCTATCGGTTTGATGGCGGCAACTAATGATGTATTGGAGCTACGTAAGTGAAATTTAGTATGTAGATAGATTATAAACATACCTACACATCATGTACGGAATACTTTTGTAAACCAACAGTTACGAACATGACTGTGATGCAGACCTTTGAGGTGCGATCTGACAAATGTAACACCGATAGAATTTGTACTTACGTAATTGGTTTTTCACAATAATAATGATATAGAAGCGGGAGTACGCGGTAGCGTAGTTGGTTGAGGCACTATGCTACAAACCGGAAGGTCGCGGGTTGGTTTTCCAATGAGTTCATTGGATTTTTCAATTGACGTAATCCTTCCAGCCGCATTGTGCCCTAGGGTCGATTCACCCTCTAACAGAAATGAGAACCAGGAATCTTCCTGGGCCGGCGCGTAAGGGTGACGACCTCACTGGCGTCTGTGAAACGATTGTCTCACTACCTCGTGCGGCACCCACGGCTTGTTACAGGGAATAGCAGAAGCAACAGATCTGTAGGATTAGAAATACACGTACGAGTATACTCGTATATGCGAAAGTTGGCTCTCAGTTCAGCTGAGAACTTCTTGTTTTGACTTACGGCTTGCTGTCGGTTTCATAAATTGCATTACAGCCGCGTCCTCATTAGTTGTTACAGTACAAGTTTTGCTGCAATAGGAGGCGTACTAGTGCTAGTGTACCATGTTCATTATGAAATCAAAATCGGGGCCACAGGCCAACAAAAGAGCTGAGCTGGAAATAAATACAGATAAAACGAACATAAGCAAAAAAGTTACCGACCAAGTTTATTCAAGAGGTAACGGTTCTGAACTGTATTCCGAGAGATCTCCGGCTCGAATCTCGTCCTTGACACCGTCCATCCTTACGTATTTAGTCGTTTTCTTAAGTCACTTAAGGCAAAAGGTAAAAAAGGGTAAAGCTATCCCAGTAACAGGCCGTGGAGGTCCGTAGGGTTGTGAGATGTCGAGGACCCCACATTTTCTAGACAGTCGGCTCACAGATGACGGTGAGACTGCCAGCCTTACGCGCCGGCCGCCCTTTACCTCCACGAAGATTGCTGGCACTCATTTCTGCGGTACAGTACCTTAACTTATACCACTGCCAATTTAGTGTGCGTCCTTCCCAATTCATTATGCACTATTGTTAAAGGTCTCTAAGTAAATAAGCGACGTGGTCGTAGTACAATGTAACCGTACGTTCCTCACTAAAATTATTTAATCGTGGTTATGACCAGTTTATACATTGTTTTCCCACCCTGAGAGTCGCTCCAACGTCGAGGTACCATCCCGGGACTGTCTAGTTGTAATTCAACATTGTCCTTATCAGCAGCATCATGAGTAGACTTTAGATATTATCTTCCGTCAGTTATGTGTAGGTAGCCCCCCCCCCAATATACTACCAGCGGTGTGGCCTGCCTCTACTGCCAGTCAAAATCCTGTCGACCCAATTTTTTCGCCTTTAGCACTCAGTAAGACAGTAAGTAGGCATACAAAATTTGGTCGGAAACCCCGAAGAAAGGAGACTATTTGAAAGACCCAGGTATACATGGAAGAATAATATTGAAACGCAACCTAAGAGAGATTGGATTGGTAGGTATGGGCTGGACTGAACTGTCGGGGGAGGGGCCGGTGGCGGGCTCTTATGAACACGGTAATGAATTTTCGGGTCCTATAAAAGGCGGGGAATTTCTTTAGTTGCTGAATGATTATTACCTTATTATTGAGTTCGAAAAGAGTTGTCAACTCATGTGACTGTGAAACTCTTGCTTTACTTAGGTTACGAACATAAATTGTAAGTGAGAGACGAGCTTTGTGAAAGAAGGTCGTGAAAATGTAACTGCTTTAGGATCGTGTGCGATGGTGTAAATATTGATTTCTGCTTCCCGCTGTTGGATTACGTATCTTGAGATTAAATAACTTGCCATTTGGAAGAAGAGGTGGGTCTCCCCCCCCCCTTACATGAAAATACTATATTGCACCTCTAATTTTCCCTCTCATATTCCGAATTCGTCCAAAGTCTCTAAAAACTGTTTCATAACTGCAATTCTAACACAACTGGCAGTTCGCCCACTGGCATTTCCTCTTCTTCGTAAGACAGACTGACAGTTCCTTGTTCATGTAATGACAGGAGCCGGGATGGCGCAGTCGGCACAGCAACTGGGCGACCGAGGGGTCGTAGTTTGTGTCCCGGTACCATCAAGCATTTTCTCCACGTCGTCCATACCGGCTCTGGTCCACCAAACCTCCTATCCAGTGGTTACCGGGGTCTCTTTCCCGTGGGTAAAGTGGTCAGATCACTCACCTCCAGCGAGTGCCGAGGTCAAGAAAATGTGGATCTATACATCCACTCTCCCATACGCCTTCATGGCGTAATGCTTAATTAGTTAAGCACAGGGACAACTTTACATTTTTACCTGACTGCGTCAGTAACACGTTTATGCAGCATCATATGGAAACCGGGCGATCGTGTAGCCTGAATTGGAAGAATTTAGTTGTGACCTGTTTGAAGGTATTATCCCCTCATTCGCCACGAATGACTCCATAAAGCTAATACCAATCTCCATGGTACCGAAGCGTTTCTAAACTCATTACTACTGCTGCGATATTCAGTGAGATCCAGACTCAGTACTTACCAAACATAAGCAAAGTGTGTTACCGCTACACCAAATCTGTCCCTCAAAAAATAAATTACGTTTCAGAAAAATAGAGGAATATAAATGCAAGCTTTAAGAGCCCTTCTAAACAAGCATTTTTTCTTGAAAATAACGACAGCTGATGACAAACTATTGTTAGCATATCCACCAACCGACAAATAGACTACCTGCAACCAGCGATCTAACTGCGTACTGCATTACTACATTCTTACTTAAACAGCACCATTACAATTGTACTGTACACCGGTAGCGAGAATACGTTCCCACACTTCCACTACTGCGCCTACAGAGAACAGGTACGTGAGATTGTCTGCACTGGCCGTGTTTCGTCGGTAGCGTCGTCTCTCTCGTCGCCCCCCCCCCCACACACACACACACACACACGGATTTCTTGGGCGCCTGCGTACACTCCCAGTCCCCTTCCCCATGATGGCTATGGATCAGCTGTTTCGCGATGTTTTCCGATTTCACCCCAGTCGCGCCAGGAGCGAGCTCCGGGACCTTGTCGCGAAAGATGAGGGCGGGTCCAACGCAGCAGCTGCAGGGAATCAGCAGCCACTCCCACCACTTTCAGCTGATATTACTACAACCTTAATGTGTGAGAAGAAGTAAATAATCGGTAAAGACGCAGAACTGGCTGGCTGTTCGCGTGGAGTCGTGTTGCGAGTGTCTGTACCCTGCACCTCCGACGACCGGCATGGCGTATGGCGTGGAGGTCTCTACTGGATAACTTTCCGTTTGCAGTCGCAGTTTTGGTTCTTTCAGTTGGATGTTATGTTAATGGATGGGCACATCTGCATTCGCAGAGCTACTAGCTACATAGCCGTACATTGTCAGTAGTGCATCCACTTCGAGATGGCTTCACAAGTTTACGGTTCCTACATACATAACACAACAGTCCATCACGGTTGCCAACGTCACAGCCGGGGTGCAAATTGGTACTGTAATGGGAGGAGAAATGTTACATTCCTGCTGTTTATTATGTTGCTTCTGCTACTGCTAGGGCATTTGGGAGTTTGTTCCGGAAGACCTGATGCATTGGCTTCGTCCTCCAGTTCGACAACATTGAGAACGACATCTCCACCTTCCGGTAATCAATATTACAGCGATAGTAACAGTAGACAGTTTTCTTGGTCAGTTAAAGGCATGGATCCCACTAATGAAGGTGATGATAGGGACGTAGGTGGTGATAGTGGTGTTGGAGATGCATATCCTTCCGCTTCTTCATCCTCAGGACGTTCACCGATCCCACACGATGATAGCGATGGCTTCGAAGAAAGCAGTCCCAGGTCATCAGGGCCTGTCTTCATGCCGAATACGGGTGACGTACAGGCTGCGCAAGCCGACACGGAACACAATGGCAATGGAGACACGAAGCGTTATCCTGTCGCATCTGTGGAGTTTGATCGTGTGAAGACGCCGTTCATCATCGGTGTCTGGATCTTTTGTGCCAGCCTCGCCAAGATCGGTGAGTAGTGCGGTTTTCGTTAATATTTTTGTAACATATGGGACATGTTAGTAGCATAACGGTGTTAGTGTTGCTACATTTGATAGTTCTAGAAAATACGAGATCGGTTAAGTACACGTAATTGCCGTGTGCTACAGCTACAGTTAAGACTAAGATAATGTTGTCCCTATGCTTAACGAAGTAAACACTACGCCACGTAGGTGTATGGGGGAGGTGACGTATAGATCCACGTTTTCTTGACATTGGCACTAGCTGGAGGTGAGTGATCAGCTTCACGCCCCTGCCGCTTTACCCCCGGGGAAAGAGCCCCCGGTTCCCATTGGATAGGAGGTTGGGTGGACCCCAGAGCCGGTCTGTACAACGCGGAGAAGAGAAAATTCTTGACCCTACCGGGACTCGAACCCCAGCCCGTAGCCAGTCGCTATACCGACTGCCCTGCCCCGCCTTCCGTTACCGTTAATAGTATTTTTAATACATGGGATGACAACCGCATGTGCCAGGGTTGCCGGTAATGGTTTTATGATACATGAGATCGAGTGCGCAAGTGTTATGGTCACCGTGGAATATTTGATAAAATATGATTTCGATGAGCAGTACAATAATAGCATTTCCTAAGGTTACCGCTGATTCTTCTATGAAATGCGATATGGATGCTTACACATGTTAGTGATTCAAGTCGATAGGGACACGAAACAGGTTCATGGGCTTCTTTCGTTTCATATTACGGGTCTAACAACATCCGGTAAGGCAAGAGTGTAATGATGTACTCCGATTTTTATGCAAATGCAATTCTAGCAATTCGTATATGTCGTTTGCGTTGGTATTCATGCGCAGCTGATCGAAATATTTTAATTGAACAATTGAATATTATTGAATGTTATCTCACAGATTTGAATATTTTATAGGATATCCCTGAAATATCTCCTTTGCTTCCACAGCCTTCTTTATTTGCCTTTCGGTTACTGTACTCTACAGCCATTCTTACGAAGTCATCTCTGAGTGCAGTGAAATGCCAACGGTGCTGCGTGAGATTGCGGTAACACAGTGTCCTGATAGATGGCCGCACGCGCTGGTTACGGACAGTACTAATTCTGTGGGTGCCTGGAACGTCATTAAATAGTTTCTCTGCTGCTATTTAATGACATGTGCTTATTTAGATTAGCCTTTTGCAGCCTGTATTTTCTACCTTTTACTCTCCCACATACGTAATACAAAAAAAAGAATGGTAAAAGGTAAAAAAGGTACAGCTATCGCTGTAACAGGCCGTGAAGGCCCATAGGGTCGTGAGACGTCGAGGTTCCCACATTTTCTCTAGACAGTTGGCTTACAGATGGCGGTAAGGTTGTCAGCATCACGCACTGGCCTCCCTTTACCGCCCAGGAAGATTCCTGGTACACATTTCTGTTAAAGGTCGAGTCGAACCCATGGCCATAGTGCGGCTGGAAGGATTAGGTAAATTGAAAAAAAAAAAAAAAAATCCACCTCATCGGGACTCGGACCCACGACCTTCCGACTTTTAGCATAGTGACTCAACCAACTAAGCTACCGCGTAGTTCGCGGTCATGACAAGTCGATCTCGAAATTACCGCGGATTTAGACGTTCTAAGCCCCTCTGACTATAAAGAAGTGGCTTTTGGAATGCCAACTATATGTACACACACACACATATATATATATACATATATATATATATATATATATATGTACATATCGATGGATGGATGAATGAATGAATGAATGAATGAATGTGCACTTCGTTAGCGCCTGAACGGTTGGATGGATTTTATTTCAATTTGGTGTTTTACAGTTTATCCATCACAAGTTGGTACCCGGCGAATATGAACAGTTTAACTCCAAACATTAGGACCCCCAGTACATAATAGCAATTATCTCGAAAAGAGCTGTGACGATTTGGGTTAAGACCATCGGCCTAATTAAAACTGCGGGTAAAAACAATGGTATGCCTTCTAGCGGCCCAAACGCGAAATGTAGTTCTACTCTTACACGACGTGATCGAGTTTGATTGGGTGTTAATTATCCACAAAGGCAATGGATCCAGACATCTTAAACGTAACTGATTATTTTGGGATAGTACGAGGCTGTGATCCGTCAGGCGTGAATGAGAAGTACACGGAGCCCATAGTGTTTACATAGGTTTTCCTTTGACGCTACAGCCCCAATTTGGGCCTTGGCCTACCTCCACGAAACTATCGGAGTATTTACATGTATACTGTACACACACACACACACACACACATATACTCATATAGACTTGTACGAACTTTCGTTACATTTTCAAGGTACAGTGTCAAACTCAGTTCCTGTTTTAATAAGCAACATTGTACAGTGCCCGTACAATCCTGTACCTTAAAGTTTTGTTGCCAGTTGAAATTCTGAGTGAACAGAAGCGCCTAGGAACAAGTCCCACCGCTCGTTCGAAGTCTAACGCTGCCTTGATGTTGGAAAAAGAGAATGTTTTGTGCTCTGGCTTAAGAAAGCTGGACAGTTACGCAATTGCGAATTGCCACAGCATCAGTTTCCGAGAGTTAATGCGAGCATGTTGCCGTGTTGTGCAAACGTCACGCAGTGAGTGAAGATCGAAAGCGCAGCCTTTAGTTTACAGGCACGGCCTTTTGTTTCTTTGCTGAACACAAAATGTCATCTAAAACTGTTAATTTCCTTCATATTATTTTAATTTTCCGAGTAACTAAATTATATTTACGAGTATAACGTAAGTGTAAACGGAAAACACGGTGTTATTATATGTTCTTTAGGAATCTTGTTGGGACGGCTTTTGTCCACTACTGATCGAAATAATTGACGAACTGACGAATGAATTAATTAATAAACTAACTCACTAGCCAAGTCCTGCAGTACAGTCCTACTTGAAAAGCTAATAGTCGTATTATAGGGTACCGGACGGTCACATTTCTGTACTTACAAGAACAAGCCACTTGTCCTTTTCCTGAACCAAATTAATCCCACCCTCTCTCCCTGAGATCTATCTTTATAGTATACAGAAAGACAAACTCCGTGGCCTGTAGTCCGCAAGCGAACTATACCGACCGAGCGACTGCCGCTTGTCGGCAAAGTTAGTGCCAAGTTTCACGAATAGGGGGTGTCACGTGGTCAGCGCAACGGATACCCACGGTTGCTAATCTCGATTTTCTAGACCGGAGCCGCCATTTCCTTGAAATAGCTCCTCAGTTATCCTCACGAGGCTGTGTGGACCCCGTTCCAGACCCACTACTTCTCAGAAAATCTCGTAGCGCCGGAAATCGAGCCCGGACCTCTGGATCTGTAGCCAGGAACTCTGACCACTAGACAACAGAGGCGGTTCGTCGTTATATTACACAGAGCGTTAAAACGTTACAGGATTTAAGATGGTATATAGTACTCACTTAAATGGGCAAAAACCGTTCCAGGCAACACATGTCCAGAAACATGCTGAGATATGTACGTGTTTTCTAGACGTTCGCATATTGAGAAGAGCCGAAGAAGATCCCGGAACCAGTGTGCGAAAGAATTGTAGCTGCTGCAGGCATCGGTCTTCCCCTCGTTCGGAAAATTCTCCATGAACATTGACTTTACCCTTACCCTATCCAGCGGGCCCTCACTCCTGACCATCGAGCTGACACAGTCGGTAGCTATGATCCTGTTTACTGACGAGGCGGGGTGGGTGACAGTCCCCACCCCACCGTGGCATCAAGACATCAACATCGGTTATCCATCTTAGGTGATCAACTCTTAGGACCAGCTGTCTTGCCTAACAGACTAACAGTTGCAGTGTACTATCGTTTTCTGGTGAATAATTTACCGGTACTTTTGGAACGTTCGCCTCTTCATCGATATCACGTGTTCATATATGACGGGAGATCCCTTTTTTTCTCCGCATTGTCGGGCAGCACGCTAATCAGTCTTTCGGTCAATAGTGGATAGAAAGCGGAGGCCCAGTCAGTTGACCTGCATAATTATCCATGATTTATTCTGACCGTCTTACAGTGCATACATTTATTCACCTTACTCTTCTCTCTTGCACTACATGTTTCAGCACTAAAGTGCCATCTTCAGGTGCTTTTCGATGTACGTCAAACTACTTCATTGCATGCCCTGTTGTCTTTATACTAAAATAACTAAAATACATATTCGTCATATATATTGATAAATTTTAAATATTAAAAATATTAAAACTGTTCAGGATTTGTCATCCTTATGTCGTATCTCAGTACGCGAGTCACACCTATCTTCTTCTGTCGGAGTATTCTTCCTACTTTCATGTGTATTGTGCTTTGTGTTGTGTCTTGCTCCTGTGACTGCGTGACTGTAACACACGCAGTCAAAGCAGCAAGATAAAAGATAGATAAAAGAAGAAGGATAAAAGGCATGGCATGTAAATATTAGGCAAAATTGGTGTGCGAGATGGAGGTTAGTGGTGAGCTTCACCCTCCGGCCACTTAAATCCGGGGGAAGTATCGCTCAGTACCTACTGGATAGGGCACTTGTTACACTCATCTCGGGAATCAAATTCCAATCGTCCAGCTCGTAACTATTCACGTTCCTGACTGAATTATTTGTAGCGTGCATACTTCTATTGCCGATCATAGTGGTCGGCCGCGCGGTCTAAGTCACGTACTGTCTTCGCCCAACACCGGGATCTTGGGTTCGAATCAAACTTGAGGCATGGATGTCTGTGTGCGTTTATTCTGTGTTTGTGTTGTCCTGTGTGCAGGTAGCGACCTTGCGACGGGTTCATCTCCCGTCCAAGGGGTGCTACTAGCTGTGTAAAAGATCAAAAAACTAAAAAAGCGGCCAAGGTCCTACAGTGAATTGTAGAGCCACAGGTAGGATAGATAGATGGACGGACGGACGGACGTATATATTCTTTTCTTATTAAATTATGCTGTGTCAATTGCAAGTTTAAAGGAGAAATGACAGGGTGCTTACGAACGGTGGAGAAAGAAGAAGCAGTCATGGTTACGTAAGGGACCGATAGCAAAGTC